GTTGAAGGCATTAAAAACAATCACCTCAACACAAACAAAGGAGGGCACGTCCTTAAGGTTGGGATAAATTGTGCCACTGCAGGAAGACCCCCCCCCTCCCCCGGGCATCAATCGTGGAAGAAAACACAGCAACATCTCCCTGGGTTAACTCGCACTGTAGCCCGGGGGGGGGGAGGTGGGGGGGGTGTACTCATAGTCGTGCATGCCATAGTCGTTTGACCATTGACCTCGCATCCCTACAAGCCGGGACGGGGCACGCCGGGTTCTCACCAGACCAGGCTCTCACATCACCAAGCGCGAAGCGCCGTGAGGTATTCGGCGAGTCGCATGAAGGGTGCGCTGCATCCTGCTAAGGGTGTTCGGCATCTTAAGGGTGTTCGGCATCTTGTGCTTACGTCCTTGCGTACGGATGACAGCTGCGTATGACTTAATTTATTTTCTGGTGCTTTCACTTCCAGATACAGTTATAAGCACTGTGTAACTGCCTCGAGGATGCTTGACCAATTTAACACAACGTGGTGCGATCATCCCCCGTTGCGCGGAGTGAGGTTTCTCCACCCCGCACAACATGATCTACTCGACCACCATTATGGTTACCGCCAAAAACAAAACCAGAGGTAAAAAAAAAACGGTAACCTGGTTGCCGAGTTCACGAAGTGACTTGGCTTGTTTTACAACGTCGTTGCCAAGCGACGAAAACCCAATCCCGATGGCAAACACCGGGGGGGCGGCTTGTTTTACAACGTCGTTGCCAAGCGACGAAAACCCAACCCCGATGGCAAACACCGGGGGGGAGGGGGGGGGGGGGCTCTTTATTCCGTCCGAAAGGTTTTAGCCACCGTATATGTTCTTGCCAATCGTATTGATATGGTTGGTTGTTGGGAGGGAGGCATGACACTCAATTCGTTTTGGATGCTCCGCCTGTCTTTCGTTTGGACGTCTTCCCACGCGAAACTTGCGGCGTGTTGAGGAAGTAGGGCCTGCCCAGGTATGGCTTACCTTTTGTGTTGCCTTTTGCGTCAGATCCTCGTTCTGGCAAAGAACCACCGGAGAAAGCATTGACGGTGGTACTGCTGTAGAATGCTGATCCCATCTCGCTCGAGGCACCTCCTTGATTGATTTGGTTGCCTTGATATCTTTGATATCTTGATGGCCTTGATAACCTTGATAGCCTTATTGCGGTGCCGGCGACGCGACAGCCACATCCAAGCACGGTAACCTCTATGTACATGAGTCTCGCCACAGAAGTAGGGAGACTCTCAGGGCGTAGTGAAGTGGGCTTGGTTTGGATCACACTTTTCGCCACGGCCCCTCATCAAACGCGGGCATTGATAACGCCCATTCGCGAACTGGACATTGGACATCGCTATCACGATGTGCACTCTATCCCTGCTCCTGATCCAAATTTCCGTTGGCTGCTTGGACAATAGTTTCGAACTTTTCCAATGGAGGTGGGCCTGTTGGTCCCCTTACCGTCCAGGAAGTGCAACGGGAGCGGCCAGCTTCAGACCTCGAAAGCTCACAACAGCAGTGGCGCTAGCCTCTAGCACCAGACAGGCAGGTACCACACACAGGCAGCGGCCGAGTGTCCGCCGGTCCTGCGCGTTGCACGTGTCTGCACGGCCCATCATTGTGGTGACATCTAACCCAACCCATGGCGTTTTAAAAAACCTTTCCGACAGCGGGGACAGGGGGACGAGAGTGGAGGACAATCAACCATCATGTTCAAGATGCGGGTGGTGGTGGCCCTACTCACAACACTGCTCCTCGACGTCGCGAAAGGCGAGTAAGAGAGAGAGAGAAAGAGAGAGGATGCTGGAAAAATGATGGGTGGGTTTCATCTTTGACTGCCAGCGCCTCGTAAAAGGAGATGTCTCCTAAGATCAGTTTGAATGTCTCGACTTGGACCCCTCCCCTCCCCCCGACCGTATGCAGCTTGTGTGCTCGTTAGAAGTCAGATGGGGCCGGCGCATCTCTCCGATGATGTGCCATGTTCTACGACTGTCGCGCTTGCCGTGCTTGCCGTGCGCTTGCCGTGCAAGCTACTACAGGCAGCGAGCGCCATTGTACAATATCCCTCACCCGGCGTTTCTGCAAAAATCCGTGTGGTCTTACCAGTACCGCTCGATTGATCAGTTATCCCACGCGGGGGGGATATATATTGAGTATCAACATCGTATACCCCCCCCACATTTCGTGATACGCAACACTAGCCCTAAGGGGTTTGTAAGGCTCACGTAATTTTCCAACCGTGGAAACAGCAACAACCGTCGCACTTGACCTGGTGCTCCGGCATGCGGGACATTTGAGTGATTGGCTACGGAGACGGACACACGCACACACTCACACTAACCCTAACCCTAACCCTAAGCCGAGAGCACACACTCACACGTACGTCTGATACGATAGTGCGCCACGCAGCCTGCATCGATGTGGTGCTATAGTGTGTATTGTAACGAACTGTCGGACCCCCTCGAGGGTTGCGTGGAACGTTCTTCAAGTTCTGCAAGCTCTCCTACACGACAACATGCAGCTGTAAAAAAAAGCGTAGACTTTAAACTTTGGTATTTGGACATACTCCGTGCAGGGCGAACGAAACCCTCCAGCTTAGAGGACCACAATATGTCCTCTACCCTGCCGTGGATGTTTCAAAACCAACAAACATTTGCTGTGATCCACCGCTCCCTCTTGGACCCTCCGTCCCCAAACTTGAACAGGAGACTGCGGCAACGGTGTCGCTGGTATCGTGAGCGGTGGCTCATGTTGTGCTGAGTCCTGCGGCACTTGCGGAGGAGTTGGGTGCAGCGGTCGTGAGGGCGGAGCAATGTCGTGTTGCACGTCAGCCATCGAGCGCGCAGGCGTCTTGTGCGATACCACGTCCGCGGGGCCGTGCTGGATCTCGTCTGCCGGTGATGACTATGGTTGATGATTGTATGCAACATACATGCAGCCCTTCTGGTCTGTTTCCGCAATCCATCACTGGGGTCAACCCCGGCTATTCGTCTACATCACTATTGTGCAGCTGCTGCTGCTGCTGTTGCGAGCCAAACCATTTCATTGAAAGGCACGGCGTTTGTCAAAAAATGTTCACCAACATACGTTTCGCACACGTCGTGCGTCTGCCGTTTCGCCATGTGCTCTGCCGTCAACCGCCAGATTTCGTTCCAGCAACAATGACAACACTGCAGTCCACATCGCCAACACCTGTTCCAACTATCCCGGACTCGTGTACTGAAGCAAATCCCCCTTTCCGATGGAACCCGGACACCGGTCCCAATGGACGTCTGTGTGAGTGCATGCCATGCGCCTTGAGGCCTTTCCTCGCTGGTTTGACTTATCGGAGACTATGTCGGGTAGACTATGCCGGTATGATTTCTTTCCCTGGTGTCTGGAGCGGCGTCGCTTCGCGGGAGAGATGACCGAGTTCCGTGCAGCCTCACTAGTTTACCCATTGAAGAACTCAATACTTTCTTGTCATACTCCGGTGTATGGAATGTCAGCACATTCAGCGTTTTGACGTGTAGTGTATGGGGATTGCGGTTTAGGAGGCATCGGACCAGAAGGACCAGAAGGCATGCATGGCATTCCGAGAGTGCGTGCAGCGGCTGTACAGTAGTGCGATCAATCCCTCCAACGTATCTCGCCTTGGTTCAGGGAACGTCCCTTGTTGGGCCCAATCTGTCGATGGACTACATATAATACTACGCATTGCAGCACTTGCTCTTCAGCCATCTAGTCTAGACACCGTTAAATAGAGGCCGTTGCCGCTGCGATAAATCGTTTGCTTGCTCTGCGTTTGCCGCGACTTCCTACCGGCTATGTAGCTTCACACCAACTTTACCCACTCTGCGGAATATTCTGTAGGCGTATGTAAAAGCTACAAGTACAAGTCAACTCTGCTGAGGCTCCCTGTGTGAACTCTTATCATTTTAGACCACGAGATACACATAATTTAGAACGACGTCATAAATGACTGGAGAGCTCTCCTTCAGAAATGGTGCGGTCTCTGCAACGTCTGTCGTCTGTCGAGGGCCATCGATTCTCTCTTTTTCGTATTGACTCGGTCGGTCCCGCTGGGTATTCCTCCCCACATACATATCACGAGGGGAAATATGTAGCCAACCTGTTGTGGCCGGCACATATGTCCAAGTCTATAATAGTGGGGTCGGTGAGGGTAAGTAGACGTGGAAGACTCCAGGTTACCCGGTGAGGTTACACATGTACTACTTCTGCTTTTTGCTCTCGACTCCGGCCTTACGGCCGTGGATTCCGCAGCACATGCAAGAGATGTTCACACGTTGGCCTCCCGACCGCCCCAATGTTTCGGACGGACGCCTGTTTCCTCGTAATACTGTTGTATTAATAATGCTGTGATACTTATGATAGATGCGGAGGGCGACGGCGGGGGCTGCTTCACCCTGTCAGACCTGTATGCCTGGCAAGGGTTTTACAACAACGGCAACTCCAAGGGCCCAGTGTTCGTCCTGGACAGCAACGACAGGGTCGACGAAACGGCGACCACCACCACGGGAAAGTGGCTCCTCACGGCGGACCTGTTCGTCACCGGCGGAGGTATAGAACGGCCTATAGCCTACAGACCTATAGACCACCCTAGATTTGAATGTTAAGGCTTAGCTTCTTTGCTGAAATACGTGTCGGCTGTTGCGTCTTTCTTCCCGCCATGCCTAGACAAATTGGTTCTTCGTTTTCGATGCGCGTCCGTCCACGCGACTCTTTGACCACGTATGTAGCTGAGCAAGATAAAGAGTCGTTCGCGGCGAAATTCCGTGTGTTTGAGGGTATGTAGATCACGTGAGGAGGCGGGTGAACGGCTGGATTTTTCTCGACGAACTCGTTCCGAAAGTGATGGATCGTGTATCATTCTAAGTAGTGTTGACTTTTGACTAGTCTAACCGCTCCTTCTCGTACTTGATACAGGTGAATATTGTCTACAGTAGAAACAGTTGAGGGGAGGACATGTCTATCCATGTTCTGAGACAGTTGGTGAAGGATTTTAGTCCGAGCGCACTGCGATTGGCGCATCTTCACCCCTCTCAAATGCATGTTGGCGTCTAGGGATGAATATCGGCGTTCTTTTTTTGATGCACCAACGGGATCAGCGAGAGAGATCATTCTGATTATCGCACAGTGATTCTTGTACTTTGCGATACGGGACAATATCGGAGTCAAACCAGCTGACTGAATAAAGGGAAGGGTGCAGGCGGCAGCAAGATGGGTACGCGCCGTTTGGCATGTTGCACAACTTTCTGTCCCCGCAAGAGTGAGTGACACTCTATCGCTCGTTCGCCGTGTTGTGTGTGCTGTTGCAGCTACGTTATACTGCCGTGGTAAGGGCGTCGGGGGGAACTGCGCCGAACTCCGCATCCGGTCAACGAGTGGAAGCGACTTCTTCGAGGTGATCCACGAGAAACATACACATAAAGGAAAAATACAAGACGGCGTCGACTATAGTGTTACTTTTTGCTACAGTATTTTACGAAAAAATTCGCCGTGTTAGCGTTGCCCTCAGGGTGGGCGGACGCTTTGGCATCCACCGCAAGAGCACCACAACCAACGATAATCCTCGTTTATTTTCGTACAGCTTCAAGTTCCTAGTCGAGGGGATTGAGATAAAGTCGTTGGCGATCCGATCTTTTGACGTCTCCACCACCCGCCGCTGGCTGACGATATCACCACGGCTGACAGCCAAGAGTCCTGATGATCATTGTTGCTTTGCTGTGTCTTTTGCTCCATGGCGCGTCCACTCCGCGCCCGCAGATTCGTGGACACGGGGGCAACCTCTACTTCGAGGACACCATTGTCACGTCATGGGACGTTGACGGCCGCAAGCCGCAGGAGACGTACAAGGACGGAAGATCTTTCATCAGATGCGTGTCGGAAGTGCTCACAGGCGAAGACACCTGCGCGATTAATAACATGGGAGAGTGCCGCATGGTGAGCAACGAGTGTAGTGTTGCCCTCGGTGCGGTGTCTGGCCCGCGTGGGTGGCGGTGGTTGTCTCGCGCGTGCCCAAGGTGTGTTGGGGAATGCTCAGGGGATGGGCTGCCAGGCTAGGCTGGCCATCGGACAATGTGAAGAACAGACATCACATGATGCTGTTTTCTCCATTCCCTAAGTTGCCTAGCCCACCGCTGCTGTTTCCGCGTATCGTCAGTACACGCCATTCGGTTCCCGCCTCGGCGCAATATTTCGATTTTTTCCAGTAGATAGCACCACGAAATGATGAAGCAAGCTCTTGGTGCTGTTCTTGTTTTCGTTCTCCCCACCACCTGACTGACCTACACAGGACATAATCGATTCGGAGATGGGCTATTTGGGTTACGACGCATCTGAGGCCTACGGCATCACCTGGAAGGTTCGCGGCTTCTGCAGCGACCTGTGAGTTGAAGAAGAGCGCAAGAGTTCAGTTGCACATTTCGTAGAAAGATTCCTATAGAGCGGTCCTGACACCTGGTTTGTACGTCAACCAGGAGGGAATGTGACCGATGGAAACTGAAACTGTAACTCCCAACACGATGGTTGTGTGCCCTTTGGTCGGCAAGTCGAGTGAAAACATACCTTCACGCGTGCCCTACCGCCAGTCGGCTGTGGGATTGTCTCGTGCAACGAGCTTGCTCATTGTAGCCCCCTTCAGATCTCGGCAGGGCTTCGCCGCCACACAGGACCCAGCTCAGCCTATGATGAATAGCAGAGGTCAACTTTTATCATCTTGTATGCAACCCTTGTCGACTACTACGCCGTCAACCTCAGAAAGCGGCGTTTTCGGCGGGAACGGTTTGCATTGACTATTAGTGGAGGCGGAAGTATGGCGGCGATGGTTAGGGTTTAAGCGTTTTTCCTCTCTTGCCGGCAAAGTGAGCCGACACCCCATACCAGGTGGAGAAAACCTCTTGCCCGATGGCGTGTAAACCTTGCACACATCTATGTAGGTCCTTCGAGTACGTTGGCTGTGGGCGTTTTACCCCAATCCTCGCAGCAACGCCAACAGGAGAACCTGCGGTTATTTACGCACCGACTTGAATGAACTTGACCCTGTCATGAAAACCGAGAGAGACACATTTATCCGTTGACACGGATGTATGTAGAACACGAAAAAACTGTAGAACACGAAAATACAGTTCCACCGTGTACGACATTGTACAGTAGTCCAACTTCTCGTCCCCTATTTATCGTTAATTCTTGACGTCGTTCCGGATGGTTGATGAACTTCTATGAGAGGCACCACTGTTTTCTACCGTCGGGCGTCATGTCTATTGCATGCCGAGAAGCCTGTCTGCGTACAACACAATTACCATGTACACAACAGACGCCTACTTTCCCGGCCGGTGGTATCGTATCGTATTGAGTTGTACCCTACATATCTACTCTGCGCCCCCAGCGGTCCATCCCAGAGGTTTTCGCGAACGTGAACTTTTTGCAGACGTCATGGGTTGGGACATCCGCCACACCTGCAACAGAATGTACTCATACAGTACGATCGCCGAGGCCTGTCTGCAAGCCTAGACGAAACAAAGAGCATTCTTTCCGGCCTGGCCGCTGCCTCTCGTCTGCTTCGCGTGATAGGTCCAACCCCGACGTCTTTGACGACGTGAACGTTTACGGAGACATGAAGGGCTCCGACATCCACCACATGTACTACGGCATGTACTCCTTCGGACATCAGGGTGGCGTCTGGACCAACAACCTTATGCACGACAACCATCAGTATGGTGAGACTATTTTTCCGTGCGCATCCGCGAAAGTGGCAAGTACAGCAGTACCGCAGAAAACAGTACAGTACACGGGCAAACGGGGGGGGGTTGAGCAGGCCCTGCCCGCGAGAAGAGTGTCGACGGTCCGTTGTCCACACCGGGAAGGGTATGCATGGGCGTGACGTCGCGGCACCTTCAACATTAACCTTAACCCAACGATTTCCAGCTCTCCGTCGCCGCAAGCATCCTTCTTGGTGATTCCTAGCTGTCCTGATACGAGTACAACACGTCTCTCCGGTGTACATTGTTTACATAACCACACGGTTACAAACACGATTTCACGGTACCCCGAGACACTCGTACCTGTGTCAGGGCAGCTCGGAATCACGAGGGTACTCAATGAATCTAGCGCGTCAAGTGCCTCGTCGCGCACGTGAGACTGCGCGAGAAACTGCGACATGCTGATGGGCCTCTGTAGGGCTGAAGCGTTGCCTTAGCCGGCGAGAACGCGGCATACCGCTCCGTCCCGGCATTGTAAGGATGTGAGGTCTACGGTTCCACGACTTCGGCAAGGGTTTACATGAGTACACCTCATCTGACCCGGTCGTACCGCTATCGCGCCTTGCTCGACTCTCTGTTTTCTTGTCGAATGTCAACGTCTCTTATTTCAGGGTTCGACCCTCACGATGACAGCGACTACCTCATCATCGCCGGCAACAAGGTGTACAACAACGTCAACCATGGTGAGGATTAGGATTGCCTTGCTGCTTGCAATGCCGTGCAGGGCTAAGTTATAACTTTGTAACAGCGGGAGCTTGTTATCTTTCATCCCTGCAGTTCTAAATATAACTTTGCAAAAGCGGGAGCTTGTGATCTTTCATCCATGCAGTTGTAAAAAAGCCATGAGTTCTCCTGTTGTTCTGTGGGTAGTGTAGTGCCTCATTCCATGTGCACAAAGTATGCAGCAATGCGTATCCCGGGATGTGTTTTACCTGTTCGCCAGACACAGGCAACGTCATAACTGCTTGTGCCTAAACTCTATGGACGCATCGGCTCTGCTGCGCCTAGAAGCCAAGCCGCGATAACGCCATTTAGTTCAGCTGGCGACTGTGGGACCTAATAGTCTAATGCATTGTTATTGACAGGTATCATCGCGTCCAAGAGATGCAACAACGTCAAGATCTACGATAACGAAGTCTACGACGGCGGCGCCGATGCGGCCGGCATCTTCCTTCACCGCAGCGGCGACGACAGCGAGGTCTACGGTGAGTGAATTTCGTTGAGGGCGTTTTGGCGAACGCCACCTTTTTTGTTTGATGGTTTCGTCAGCAGTTGATAGAAAGGGCACCCTCATTGAAGCGTTGCGGTGAGCAGTCTTGCCTCCTTTCTGAATTCGACTAGCAGCTAGGATTCGAGAGTACCCGCGATTTTGCGGGCGTAGACGGCCTCGAAAATATCCCGCCGCAATAGTCCAGGTTGGTGAGATTAACGTAGGCGGCCAGCGATGCATTGCAAAACGCTCTTGTGATGCTTGGATTGTGTCCCCACCGTGTGTCCGCCGCCCTGGTTATCTTGTTTGGGCACATCGGCTGGGTCCACAGAAGGGTCCACAAAAAAAACAAGGCTTCGCAGGAGCTTGTGGCCCTTCTGCTTCCTCGGCGGTGCTGGCCTTATCTGTTTCTCGAGGAGAGTTCAGATCCGTCCCGGCTTTTGGGATAACGCTAGCTTCGCAAGCTCAATGTTTTTCTTGTCATGCCTCCAAATCCAGACTGAAGATGTTGTTTCCTCCCGCAACTGCTCCTCCGTTGGTCGTTGCTGTTGTCATGACATGATCGCGACGAATTCGCTCGATCTGCGCAACTCGCAGGCAACACCATCACCAACATGGGGGACGCCGGGATAGCTATGTTGGAGGTGTGTACTGTAAAGCTGTACCGTGGGCAAGAGGCGTCCTTGTACAATGTTTCAATGGCAGTGCTGCTGGCGATTGATGCTACGATGTACGCTACGGTGCTGCGACGGCGAGAAGGGTGTTACTTCGCCTGCCGTAGGGGTGTGGCGGAAAGACACCGGCACGTGCAGAACGTCCTTTGGTCACATTAATCTTGCCATCTTGCCGATCGATGACCCGAGGATCCCCACGACGAGCGAACCTTACTGACGTTTGCCTCTTGGTGCCCAGACGGGCGTCCGCAAACATTGTCAGTCATACATAACTCATGAACCGAGATACCCGACTTTCTTCGCCTTCTGCTGTGCGCCCATGTGTGTCGTGTTTGTTGGCACAGACGAGTGGTTGTGACATTCACGACAACCAGGTCGACGGTGGAGAGTTCGGCATCCGTGTTCACCTGGGTTCGTCCAACAACAAGGTTCACGATAACGTTTTCAAGAACATCTGGAACGGTGAGTGCTTGACATGAGGCGCAATGCGAAGGATACGAACAAACGAGACACGAGGGGGTTCATCTGAACTTTAATGTGTAGGCGTTCGGGATGTGCAATCTACTGCTTATGGATGTATACTGGAGCGGCTTAAATGAGAACGCCTGTGCTGCCGCGACACCATTTGACGACGCAAACCACTGTCGCCATCCAGGCTGCATCGTTGTTCGCCCCAGCCTGCTGAGGCCGGTATTGTGGTGGTGTCGTCGCCACTGCTTACTTTGTTTACATCATAATTTGTGGAATGCTATACTGTAGTTGTTCCTTGACGGCGATGTCTTCCACTCTGGTGCGCACTATGGCGGTACTTAGCGGCTCCGCCGCACGTTTTCCTGCATCTGTCTTTTTGTCGCTGCTGCTCCTGTGAAAACCCTGCTTGATGGGAATTTCAAGTTTCCACGCTGTTCCGTGCAGATTCCCGAGCTGGGCCTGACCACCGATTCTCTGCATGTTTATTTTGTGTTGCCCACTCTGCGTTGCATACTCTGCTTTGCCCGCACCGTTGTCCTTCAAGTCGGCATGTTTACCTACGTCGGGTCCGACGAGCCTTGGGTCGGTGGTGGCCGTCCCTGCGACAACGAGTTCTACAACAACACGATCCAAGCCACCGAGACCGGCGTCAAGATCAAGGAGTCTGACAACATTTCGATAACAAGTACGAATCCTGTGTCTCCCTTGCTTTCCAAGTTCCGTGTCGTTGCATACTGTATGTAGCGTGTACGTTTCGAGCGAGACATGCCCTCTAATTATCATGTTTCATGAGGGCTTGCTGTTCAGGGTTGATTGTTGGCAACTGCCAAATTCCGCCTTGAAAATTAACAAGTCAACAAGGCAGCGGCGTCACCTACTACCACATGCAATGCAATCAGTGCCTCGTAAGCGGTTCATCTTCTGACGTCCGATATTCGCCCCCTTTTTCTCTCCCTGTTCGGCGCTACACGCACCAGACAACGCATTTAGCGGGACGACGGAAATCGAGTTTAATAACGCCATCGACATAGTCTGGTCAGGCAACAGCATTCCTACGAACACATGCCTCGAGGACATTGACAACAACAGCACCTTCACGGGCTCCTCGGGCCTCCCCTTGGAATGCTAATGCTAGTGCTAATGCTAATGCTAATGCTAATGCTAGTATTGTGGCTCTGGCTCTTGTGCCAGGAGGGATGAGGCATCATGCTGTACTGGCATGAGTCGTGCGGGGTAGCACGTGCCGTTTTATCATGGGTTCATGTTGTTCACACCCACAGTGCTTTTTACAAGAGCACGGGCACGTGGTGGAAGAGGTTTGGAGAAGGTTGGCGGGGGGAAGCTGCTACTTGTTGGGGTGGAGCCAATTTCCTTTCGTGGTGGTTTCAAGGGGTATTTTTTGTCTTGTTGTTATTATAGGCCATGTGAAGTAGTCAATTATCTTCGTGAACATTATGGTTGAGCGGTTTCTTCTTGATAGAATGACTACGCGGAGCCTTTGCTTCGGAGCATGATGGAGATTTTTTCTTTGGAAAAGTCGCGAAGCGCTACTAAATGTGTTTTCCATGTCTACAAGAAGTTTTGCATTTTTCTGCGGAGCGCCACGACGCGCTGGATTTGTTGTTGACTGCTGTGTCTTGTCGCATCGGGGTCGTTTCTGTTTCAGGAATATCCTCCAATTTTTCGGAGAAGTCATGGGGAGTCACGGAACAGTCTTCGTCTTTGGAGATTTTCGTCGCCTATGACGTACAGTATCTTCACGAGGTTACGATAGGTATTGATTCTTGTTTCTGGAATTTTGCCTTGACTGGAGCAGTATTATGAAATATGGAAGTTTGGATTCGGAGCGCTCAAGTCTAGGTTCAGGAGGGTTGAACATTTCTGCATCGCACCCTCTGCTTTGTGGCCGGACTGTTTCCCCCGCTTTCTAGCCTTGGACTGGAAGCGAACACTTTTTGACTGCCGTGATCATTCTTTTGCAAAGCACGGTGCTGAAATTTGTCGTACCGATGTCCTTCCGATCTACATAATATCTCCATCACAGGGCCCGTCTGGAGCTGATTACAGTAGTTTACAGCACGCTTCAACGAATCGCGAGTCAGCGACGACCACAATACAAGCGTTGGTTCGAGCAGAAACCGCTTCCTCCCGTCATCACCGTCATAAACCTGCACCGACACGGTTGGGACTCCATATTTTCAACTACAGTATGCATGTATCCCACAAAGGGTTCAGCTCTCTTTGGACCGATAGCCCCCCCCAGGGAAAGACGGAACTCTAGTTCTTTTCTGTAGCACTTGTTTGCAAGGCTAGTACAACAGGGAGGGTTGAAGGTACCAAACAAGCGCTCGTTCTTTTGCTAGGAGGGTTGAAATTTCCCCCGGGTTCAAATTTACGTGAGTTATTATCCGGTGTCGACGAACGCGCGGAACGGACGAACGTCAGCTCCCTAGACTACATTATTGCACCTCTCGGTTGGTGATTTGCTCGCGTGCCACCCAGCCCCCGCCCCGTGCCTTCGCTTCGAGATCTGGAACGCTGTACCTTTGTTCCGGGTCAGCTTGCGGGAGAAATCAAGCACGGCCTGCCGGGCCGTATCATCATTGCCGCTCTACGAGGCTCACCCAGCGCGAAGTTGTCAGAGAGACCGCTGCCGCCGTAGAAGAAGGCACTGTCAGGCCGATGGAAAACGATCGATGGGGGCGAGAGGAGAAGGGAGGGGTGTTGTGGGTTGACGGCACCGCCACGTGAGCCGTGGGAGTGGTTGCAGGATCAGTTAGGCAGGCTTGTCCTACAAGACAGTACAGCCGGCCCGCCCATAAGATATACGTTCGGAAGAAAGCGAGGCTCAGTTATTGGACAACTTAAAGAACAGTGTTCCGAGAAATTGAGCATCATAGCAGCCGGCCCTACATGAATTCCTATATGGTCTAGAGGCCTTTGCTCAGTGGTGGGGGACAAAATAGGCTGAGCCTCGCTCAAAATACAGAAGGGGTTTCTTATGAGTGGGTCGGCACTGTAGCCTGTTGTTGAATGTACCCGCTCGGCGTATGTTTGTGGGTGAATCTTCATTCATCAGCCTTACGACAGTATAGTCTACACGTACACGAAGTGACCGGGACGGAAGCCACATCCACATGTTTCCTCTAAAAAAAAAGCCCGTCTGCAAACCCGATCTTGTGCAAACACTTCGTATCAATCTGACGTACTTCGTAAACGTTCACAGGATCGTTGCCTATATTTATTTACTCCAGTTATGAATATGCCGCGCCTTTCCAAAACCCCTCCCCGACACGGGGTCTTGACATTATTGGGTTTTCGGCCATGGACCATCCACGGACCGTCCATGGCCGGGTCATGAACTAACCGTGGACGGGCCATGGCCGTGGACTGGCCATGGCTGGGCCATGGCCCAGTCATAGGCCGGCCTGGGCCCGGACGTCGAGTCATGCATGCCCGATAGCGACGGAGCTATTGATTTCTTTGATAGACGTGGAAGTGAGTAATGACTCGTTCACGACTCGGTAATGATCGACCCAGTAGGATCCATGACTTTCACTCGGTCATGACCGAGGCTCTGTTATCACATTTGTCATGTGTGCGGGGCCGGAGCTGACTAACTGATGACGACTTCAATGGACTGCTGCCGCGAAATTCGGAGTGCGTCCAAGGTTCGTCATGCCGAGGTTTTTCCCGACGACATTCTACGGTTGCTGGTTGTGATGGGCCCCTGTCGTATCCGTTATATATTTGGGTAACATCTCGCGGTGGGTAATTTGTGCGTTTTGTCAATATCTCCTAGTTCTGACAAGACGTAAAGATGACCAGGTTCTTCATGTAAAGCCACTTCCAGGTAGTAGGCTGCTCATGACAGAGTCGTATTTCGTGATAGGACATGTGTGTGTGCGATCTTGAAGTACATATATCTTCAACACACAAAAGCCAGAATGCCACACATACTTGCTGTAGAATAAAATGGTCCCTACTACGCTGGTTGCCGAGAGGAAACGATTCAACTCAATACCATGTGTTTCACTAGAAGCACTCCGATCAGACACCACGAAGTCCACGTAGGTTCCACTGGTCGAGGTAACAATTTGTCCCCGTCCTTGTAGGCAGTGAATTTCCACACGATGAATGTTCCCGAAGAACTACCTGCCAAATCCATGAGCCGTCCATGAGCCGTCCATGACCCGGTCATGGGCGGTCCGTGAACGGTCCATGCACCGTCCATGGACCGCCCAGCCGGGTCATGGCCCGGCCCTGACCGGGTCACGATTTGGTCCATGGGCGGTCCATGAGCCGTCCATGGACCGCCCTTAGACCGTCCATGGACCAGGGCCATGAACTTACCCAATAATGTCACGCACTTAGACCGCATCTTGTGTGGTAGGGATTGTTGAACGGAGCGACACCGACGGGTGCCATACACAAGCAATCGCTATTTCTTCTTCTGCCCACGTCCGCATCCTTCTGGTACCTTTTACCGTATCTTGCTCTTTCCTCTTCTTCGCCGCTGCTGATTCTCTGAGCTAAACAAAGCTGCGCTCATGAGCTTTGCCCCCCTCACCAACCCTCGTCAACGAACCGAGCGTTTCACCTCGCATCACAGGCAGCAGCAGCAGCAGCAGCAGCAGCAGCGAACGTACAAACCCCACGTCCTCACACGCGTCGCGCGTGCGGAGGAAACACCCACAATGGTTTCCCCCACGACGTTCGCATAATCGAGCTAAATATGGCACTGTGCCAGCCGTGACGCAGTGCGCTAGAGGGAAGAATAAGCGTTCTGCGCAAGTCTCGAGAAGGCAACGAACAGCGATCCGGCCAAATTCGGCGGCTATTCCACCGCCCGGCGGACGAAACAATATTATTCTCGTTCGCATCGATAACTCCCGAGCCAGGTCACCTACGTCCACCAAACTCTGAGAGTCAACGATAACTAACCCAACACAACTCTGCGCCAAGTTTTACGAAAAACCGTCCGACCTGCATGCCACCTACTACGTGACCTCGCCTGCCAAAACAGTTGACCCTGTCATTTCTCATCGTGTACACATCCATCCCCCTATCCACACATACATCCCATACCTATCCTTAGCTGGCACTTGGACGTTGGGGACATGTGATGATTTGTAATGCCCAAGAAAGGGGTCAATCATGTGACTTTTGCAGCTGAATCTAACATAACCAACACAAACAAAACAGGGCTGGCTGCGAAAACTGTCCACATGTTGTTCAACCACGGTAACCAACTTCTCTGCTCGGTGCTCCGTGCGGCCCACAACTACTCAATACAGTGGTGCCCCGATATAGGGAGGTTCCCGATACATCGCGCGGGAAATCGCTGTCACAAATATGGCCCCTCGTCGCGTTGTTATTCAGGGATCTTAAGGGCGGGGAGGGGATCGCAGTGTCTCCTCTTAAAAAATCCAGGAAACCCATGCATATCTCAATTTTCGAAAGTCTAACACCTTTGCTTAGGGTTAGGGTGTTTATACATGACCCCAGGCATTCAAATCAACTATAGCGACGGGTAGGACACGTGAGGGAAGAGCTGCACCGAAGTTCGCGGCCCCCCACACTCACCACATACATAGGCGCTGATTCGCCGTTGCTGTATGCTTGAAGTGTTTCAGAATCGGACCGCACAGCAGCTTCAAAAATCCTGCTTGTTGATCACCGATCTCGATGATAGAAGGATCGTTTGGAAAATAGCGGACTGCGAGTCTGCAGTTCTTCATCACTACAAGGGCTACAATCTCCGACACTAACATTGCACACAAGCGACCGCGGCGGGCGGTTAATTTGCGGTGGTAGTTTCGTACTGGGGTTAGACTTTGGGAAACTGAGATAGGCAGGCGTTTCCTGGATTTTTCAGAGGAGGTATTGCGATCCCCCCCCCGCCCTGAAGACGACTCCAGCTTCCTTGCCGTCCCCCCCTGTGTCCTCGGGGCTCCGCGATGATGGCTCCGCGATGACGGTGTTTTTGTTTCGAACCATGTTTTTTTTTCTCACAGGTCAAACTGCTAGACTTAAAATCTCGAGCGGTGCCCCCGTCGACTGCTGTAAAATCTCAAATGTCTCCTCTGGCGCTTGGCCAATGGAGACGCAAACCTCTACATCTTTTTG